ACTTCATCGGCACATAGTTGTGAATAGCTAGATTCCACAACACTCCAATACTCCTTGGATCGGAGTAGATTCTTCATGAGCATGCTCCAGTGACCATGCTCCAGTAGATTCTTCAAAACCACTATTTCCTTCATCCATTTCTTACGAACTCTCTCTCCCTTTTTTTCTCAATATGAAGTCTAGCTCTAGATACCAGATTGTTAGGGAACTCTGATAACAGACTTGATTTATTGAATAATAGAAAAGCTAATATATATATAGCTGATTACATAAACTGACAATCCTAAAACTTAGCTAAAAAATAGAAACTAATAAAGACTAAATCAAAATGAATTCAAGTGCTATGCTAACAGTCCTATAAAATAGGACATTTATTCTAACAAACTAACCAAGTGAAAATTAACCTTATCAATAACAAGATGTCAAACATAATATTAAAACAATACATATGATAACAAGGTTTCGCAACAAAGAAAAAATACGCCTAAAATAAATAACACAAAAATTTGTTAACTGATTTTGATATATGATAAACATGTTTTTGTGAGAATAATAATAAAAGTGTAAATACGTTGTTACTTGAATATTTATAAATGAGAGAACTCACTCACTTATCATTTCTAAAACTATCAATTGATATCTCTACACAAGTATAAACTAATATGCTTTAACGAGAAAAAAAACTCTTATCATTTAGTGATGGGAAACTATTGTTTGCAAAAGGTTCTCTAATGATTAATGTTATTGTTATGTATACTTTTATGTTCTAATATATTAAATTGCAACCTTACAACCGGGTGATTTGAAGATATGAGTACGTATCCAAAAGTGCCAGTTTTCTTCTTCCCAAAAAAAAAAAGTGCCAGTTTTCTGCTTTAATTTTTTTTCTTCTTGATGTCATGAAAGGAACTTTCCTAATTCCTATATTAAAATCCAAAAAATAAAAGAAATAAAATGTATTCCTGTATCTCCCTCTAATCACATCATTAATTAAAAAAATATGTTGCTTTCATTGATGGTGACTTAAATTTGTGTTGTTGTTAATATGGAAATAAATATACGCCCACTAAATGCTCTATCTGGACCCAAAATTTTTGTTCACTTACACGGGTATATTTTCTTTTATCTACAGAAAATGAAAACTAATCTTCAACCTCAAAGGTTTTAAAATTAATCTGAGTATAATTTATAGAAGGAATGAACATTGTTCAATAGAGTTCATGCTCAACATTATCTTGAAAAAACATGAATAATAAGTATTTGAATTGAGTACATCAAGATAATTCTAAATATTGCAATGACTTGTATGGAAAGCGAAGATATTTTGGTATGTTTGAAAGGAAATGGTAAGGAGTGCCCTATAAGCACTCTTTAAAGGATAAAAGTGTAAGTTTTTATGGAAAAACGGTATATTTAAAGCTTTAGAAGTTAAAATAGTTAACAATTAATCTCTTTATTCGAAATTTTAAATAGTATCTTTAGAGAACTTGTTTGGATCTAGTGGTGTTAGCGATAAAAAAAATTTAATGGAGTAAAACTAATTTTTTTTATTATGAATCAATAATTCAATATAAAAAAAAACATTATAAATAAAACTACGTCTAATTTATGAATTTACCGCTTTTACTAATGAATGAACAACTATATTCGTTTGAAGTGTTAGCTATATATTTAGATTTCTTTTAAAGGGAAAATTTATCCGATTCAAGAATAAAATTATGTGATTCAATCCATTAATTAAAATTTTTTAATTTGATTCAATCCAATTTCTTATAATATAATTTGGATTAATTTCTAATATTCAAATTATAAATTATAAATATTTTTATTAATATTAATTTTATAAGAATGTGATAAAAAATAATTATTTTGATATAAAATATAATATAAATTAAATTAAATTTAAATTTAAAGTGTGTTTTATGTGGTATAGAGTTAGAAATAGAGATCATTTTTTTGTCAAGTGACCTTGGTGAAGGTTATTCGAAGAGAAATAGTTTCTTGGGTCGGTAAGACGGTTGGGGTTGTGGAAGAGTGCTTTTCGAATTTTATGGATTGGTACTCGTTTTATAAAGTAAAGAAAGTCAAATCGGACAAATTAAGAGTGGTGTGGCTTGCAACTTCGTAGAATGTTTGGTTATTGCAGACAAGATTTGTTTCGGGAATGATGTTTGGAATATTAACGATATGATTTGAAACATTGCAAATTTGGTTTAGAAGTGGTCTTTATTTGGAGATATTACTCATTTCAATTGTAGTTTCTACGAGTTTAGCAAAAATTATTCGTTATTTCTTTCATAATTTTAATTGATTTGATTGATTTGTAATCTCTTTCTTTTGTTGAAATTTTCCCAATTCTTATGTAAATGTGTTAGAGAACTCTTAATTATTCCTTATATATCATCTTACTTATAAAAAAGAAATAAATAAATAAAATAAAATAAAATATAAACTCAAACCAACATTACACTTTTCAAAAAATAACTTCCAAATACATTTAAAATTTTAACTTTATACAATTTTTGTCATATTTAAATTAACATTGAGTTTATATAAAAGATTAAAGGTAGTGGAACGTAGTTTTACACCATTATTTAATATAATTGTATCATTCAATAATATTATATCTGTATTTTATAAATAAAAGTATAATTTGACGGAATATACATCTCTCATTGATTGATAAAGAAAATATTTTTCATTGAATTATTATAATTTTAATAAAAACTACACTTTAAAAAGTTTGTACAGTGAATTATTATAATTTAAAAAAAAAACTACACTTTAAAAAGTTTGTACAGTGAATTATTATAATTTTAATAAAAACTACATTTTGAAAACTTAAAAAATAAAATGAATTACAAAATAAAATAAAAAATCAAGGTATTAATATCTCTTGAGAGTTGGTATAAATAATGAACCACTTTAATTATTACATTATTATTATTATTAAGGCAAATAATGAGCCACCAAAGAATTACTCCATAAAACATTCTGGTTTATCATTATGTGTGGCTTATTTATGTTAGACCAGTCAAATATATATGCATTGCTTGGGAACAAAAAGTTACTGATTTACTACTAAAATAGTATTTCATCATTTTATTATACTCCTATTATGTGCCCTTCCAAATTCTATATATACACCAAATACCTTTTTGTCACACACCAAACTTTCCCATTTGAGTATACTCACTCATCACTCTCTTTCTTCAAAAAAACTTATTGCATATTTTTCAATCTCTAATGGCAGCTTTTTCATATCAATACAATCCTTTCCTTGTTGATCACTCACCATTCATGTTCAACATAAACACTAATTCTCCTCCACTTCCTCTTCCTTCACAGTTTCATCCTCTTCATCAAGATATTATTAACTGTGTTGATCTTCAAAGCTCCAAAGTTCCTACCATCACTGACAATGAACCTTCTTCTCTCACCAAAAACCTTAGTCCTCAATCCTCCATGGTATTGGACAAGCTCGAAACCGGCGACGAGCAAGTTACTCAGAAAATTAACCCTATGGAGAAGAAGAGGAGAACCAGAAACAACGGACCAGCTTCCTCAACTAACCCTAAATCTCATGTAATAATAATAATTCCACTTTTAGAAAAAATAACATTATAGATAAAAAGAAATATTTCATGTTTTTACCTAAATATTTTAATGTATTTATTTTGTACTAATCATAGTTAAATCACTACTAAAAAAAATAGCTCTGATTTTGCAGGAAATAGCAGCAGAAGGAAGAAACAAAAAACAGAAGAAAAACAAAGAAGCTGAGAAGCGAAAAGGAGAGAAAAAAGATGAGAGAAAATGTTTGGATGAGCCTCCAACTGGTTACATCCACGTCAGAGCAAGAAGAGGTCAGGCCACTGATAGCCACAGCCTTGCTGAAAGGGTACCCTATATTACTGACTCTGACTACTCTATTCTTTTATGTAGACCTACCCCACATCAATACCTATAGAATTCCATAAATGTCCTTCATTTATCTTCATGTCTCATTCTAAATTGAATTTCATTTATTCAGGTAAGAAGAGAGAAAATAAGTGAAAGGATGAAGAAGTTGCAACAACTTGTGCCAGGCTGTGATAAGGTAGGTCAAGTAAAACCTTCATGACAGCATATATATATATATATATAATTAAATTCAATACTTTAATAATTATCATACAATTAATACACATTTTTCTTCTTTATTTTTCTAACCAGGTCACTGGAAAAGCCCTTATGTTAGATGAAATAATTAACTATGTTCAGTCTTTACAAAATCAAGTAGAGGTAACACTAATAACCTCGAACTAATCTCTTATATTATGTCTATAAAAACTAATTATATATAGGGTTTTGTTGATGCTTATTTATTTATTTATTTATTTTTGCAGTTTTTGTCAATGAAACTTACTTCAGTGAATCCTATGTTCTATGACATGGCAACAGATCTAGACACTTTCATGGTTAGACCAGAGGTGAGGAACAAAATTAATTAACTTACGTTTAGTAATAAATTGGCTCATAATATATATTAATTATTAATAATGAAAGTAACTAACTTTGTTATATTTTGAATTATATCAGAAATTAAATAACTTAGCATCACCATCACCACTATCATCATCAGTGTCACATTGCAACAGTCCCAAACAAGGCACAGCTTTTGCTGATACAACCACCATGACTCCAACCAACATTTTCCAAACTACTAATGACTACAACCACCTTTTGGATACTTCAGCTTCCGTTTTTCTTCAAAGACAGAGATCAAACGTTGTCTCTGAGGTACAAAAACATAAACAACAAAAATGGTCTTAAAAATGTCTTTTAATAATTTGTTTTGTGATGAAAAAACTTCATTTTCAGGATGGTAGCCATTTTTGGGAGGTAGAAGATCAACGACAAAAGTTTCTTAATTCACATGGATTCAACAACAACTTATGTTCATTTTCATTAATTTAAAATTCATAGTGGTGCATGTCATGTTCTACAATTCTACCAACATGTTTGTAAGCTCTCAAATCATGTCTCTTATGTTTCATCTTATTATATTTATATAATTCAATTTAATAAAGCTTGGTTTTTTAAATAAGAATATCATTTTTTTTTTGCAGGATTTAGATTTTACATTAGGTAAGGAAATTCCAGGAAGAATATGAATATGAGTATATATTAAAGGGCATGAAAATGAATGGATGAAGAACAAGAAAATGACAAAAAATGAAGCAGACCAAATAAAAGACCATATCTTTTCTAGATCTGTGTTCTATTCCAGTTATTTTTGACTTTTATGTTGCACAAACTGCTAGAGACTAGTATTGATCCTGGGTAGACATCACATACAGTGAAATTAATTTGTGTCATTGTAAATTATTGAACTAGTGATTCTTGTGGTGGCAGTTATTCTGTTGGTACAGTAATAAATTTTTATCATTATTGAGAAATGAGGGGCTGAATACATTATTGGCCATGCAATTGTTGTTGGTCTAAGCCTAGCTAGATTTATGTATATGTCTCTTCAGATTCTTCAAGTTTTGTCATTTTATACTACTATATGGTTACTCTTATGTAATTTATAATTAATAATTTATAAAAATAATAATGTATTTTTTTTATTATTATTTATGGGTTCAGTTCAAATGTGTTTACAAAAATACAAGGTTATTCTAATTTTAGTAGTTACTTTCAGTGATGGACCTGTGTTTGTGTTATATTGGAAATTTACTAGCATATGTAGGGCTTTGAAATACACAAATCAATTTAGTGTTTTTCTTTAACAATAAAAAAACCATGTCAATTCACTTTCACTTAAATGATAAATATACAAAATATAGAAATTGACATGACAGTTTTTGTTTCAACAGACAAGGATGTTGTTATGTCATTTTAAAGATCTTGCTTGCCTACATTAAAGATTTTCCACATTCAAGCATTCAAAATATTTGCAACTCTCGTATTAACATCAATTTTTTTAACATCGGTCCATTAACTAAGGTGAAAATTTTCACCTCAGCCATGCAGTGTAATTGAAAGAAAAATTTTCCAATTATTTATGTGGTACAATTTCAAGTTTTGGCAAAATAAAATATTCATTGAACTATAATAGGTTTGGGATGCTTGTGTGAACAAAGAGAAGTTTGCTTTGGTTACTTAGAATTGAATTGGGCGTGAGATCAACAAGTGTCTATATCCATATCAAAAAATTAAGTATAATATTATCAAAGCTTAAAGCAAAAATAAAATATGACAATGACTATATCAGCTTCCTTTTTTCTTTTTTCAGCTATATGGGTCCTATTTTTTTAAAACAATACTCGCCACTCATTCTAGCTATCTACCTCTTCAATTCCCTTGGTTTCTCTATTTAGGATGATAAGTAAATATGTTTTACAAAAGAGAATAAGGGCTACGGTTCATTAGTCTTTTTATAAGGAAAAAGTTAATATGTGCTCCAAGACCCGACTTAATAAGGTATTTATAAAAATATTTTTTTAAAACGTATGAATTTAATATTTTGAAACTTTAAATATAATTTTATTCTATTTAATTTTATTTAAATTTTTTTAATTATAATATATTTATCATGTGTCATTTTCATAATACTCAAATTTTAATTCATTCAACAATAATATAGAATTAAAATTATTTCGTAATTGTAGGCTCAGGCTACGGAAATGTCTCTCATGTAAGCAATGCAGTTTATTTTTATTTTCACTTTTTAACAATTAGCGGCAGTTCCAAACGGTCTCAAATTGAATAGTAAAGGTAATGTTTCACAAAATGAACAGTAGAGTTTTGTGACGGTTTAAAACAATTTTCAAATAAACAGTAAAGATTTTGTGATGGTTTGGAACCTTCACAAAATAAACAGTAAAAATTTGTGGTGATTGAAAACCACCGCTAATTGTAGGGTAAGTATATTTGGTTGAATTTTATAAATATTATATTTATTGTTTGTGAAATACGTTTTTATTTTTAATTTTATAATTAATTGTTTTTGTAACTGACTAAGATATGATATGGTTTGTATGATAGGTAAAAAAATGAAGGCTTAATAGTCAATCCGTCTTTGTTATTCGGATGATATTTGAAAGAAAAAAAAATCGTAAAAAAATTTAAATTCTCACTCTATCATTTAAAAATTCTATTATTTTGGTCTTTCATTAAACTAACTCATCCAAAAAATTTACTTGACATTGATAAGTTGGTATTTTTTTAAACTAAACGTCCACCTATTTGATGTACAATAAATTCTATTAAATTATTATTTATAATTATTATGAATTAAAGATATATTTTTGAATTGAATCAAATAATTTATTTTAATAAAAAATAATGATGATTAGATAGTTACACACCAAAGTATCAAAATTACTATAGATAAAAGCATCAAATCTCTTCCCCTGATCATTTATTTTAATATTATTTAAAATATTTTTCTATGTAATAATAAAAAATTAGGCTCCTAAAAATTTGAATTTTAGTGCTAAAATTTACTGCACATTTTAATGATTGAGTCTGTAAATTATATTTGATTAGCTTTTATTTATATTTGAGATGTCAACATTAACAAAAATATTATAATTTTAAGCCGTAAAAAATAAGAATAATAAAAATAATAAAGAATGAGAGTTTTTAAACCTTCCTCTCCCGCCATATAACTTTTCTGACAATATTTTTATTTATAAAAAATATATTTTGTGATGTCAAAATTTATATTTAAAAAAACATAAACAAAATTAAAAGTAGTATAAGTAATTGAAGCTAAGCTTAATCATGATAACTAAGTTTGTATATCTTAAAGTCAAATAAAAACAAAATTAAAATATTATTTTTTTAAATTAAAACGATAATATAATTAAAAATATAAAATAAATAAATAAAAATTAAAAAAGTACACAATATTATCACCATTCATATGTAATGTCAGTCACACAATTATTTTAATTCTTTTTCTTTCACCAATTTTTTTTTTTTTGCAATAAATTTATACCTAAAAAACATAACCTAATTATCCGATAATCAAAAATTTTAGAATAAAAGAAAATAAAAACCAAAAAATAAAGACAAATCACAAAATATTAACAATAATGAGATAATATAATTCTAAATAAATCTCTAAATTATGAAAATGAGTGGTTTTAGTTAATATAAAATAAATAATAAATATTAATAAAATAATTTATGGCAAAAAATGCTTAAATTTTGAGATGTTGAAATGATGGTTTTTCAAATTCATAATTTTAGGAAATAAATAAATAAATATTAATAATTACTAAATTAACCTTAGTTTTAGCTCCAAAAAATTTTCTTAAGGGACTTAACAACTTTAATTAATAAGATTAAAATATAAGATTTTTTCCATGTGTCACTTATTCTTTTAAATTAAAATATTTTCTCATAAATCTTCTTCTTCATCTTCTTCCTCTTTCCTTTTGTTCTCTGTGTTCTTCAAGTTCTTCCTTCAGCTCAACAAGTTCAAATTTTCATCTTTCTTTTATCTTTTCTCTCTGATAAATTTACCAAAAAGCCCTCATCTTGTCGAAAAGTGACAAATCCCCATCCATCTACATAGTCACCACCAACCAGTACCCCCCCCCCCCCCCACCATAAACCACTGATCTTCGACTCCGGAATCCACCATGATTGTTCGTACATGCGGTCGATGCAACAGATCGATTTCTGAAATGCGCTCTAGTTCTTCCCTAAATAACGACGTATCAAAGCTCTTCTCAACAGACGCTCTTACCCAAGAATAAGACACTCACTTCGGCGGCTAATTCACTTTCTCTTTCTAAGATTCTTCTTCTCAGTGGTCTTTATTCGATTTCGACCCCAATTTGATCGATGATTTATACAGAGCAGATCGCCAAGAGTCAAAGAGGGCAAATGATGTATCTTTTTCGGAGACGTCGACGCTGATGGAGGTGCAGGAGTTTGGGGAGATAATGAAGCATGTGGTGAGATTAATTTCTCTTTTGATGGACTCCGTAACGATCAACTTGTGCTGATCAAAAGATATAGTTTGGTTTCTCTTTTGTCAATTTGTCCCACCAGGCAGCAGCGAAGGCTTCTTCGCTCTCAAGGGTATGTTGATTTCTTGTGAAATTTCTCAGTTTCTTTTGAATTTCAAAATTTTGTGTCTAGCGTAAAATGGGTTTATTAGAATTTCTTCTTTTACGTTCTTTTTGGTTAATTATAGTGTTTTTTTTGTTGGATTTTTAAGGTTGTTCCACATAGTTGCTGGCTTGGACCATGACACCGCTGACTTGAACCTTGACACTGCTAGCTTTTCCCTTTCAATCTAGTTTGCTTCCAACCCGATCCACCTTCTGAGAGTGATTACATGCCTATTGATGCAATGATAATAATGTAAAATTTTCTACAGATAGATTCACTATTGAAATGAATCTTATTGCTGCTTTTATCGTGTGCTTGAGTATTATGTTAATGAATCTTACTATTGACATGAACAAATCTCAAATTAGGGTTCACATGAGTTTAATAGAGAAAATAGTTTAATTAAAAAGAATAAGTGACACATGGAAATTATCATATGTTTTAATTTAAAAAATGCCAACTTGTCAATGTCATGTAAGTTTTTTGGGTGAGTTGGTTTAATGAAGGACTAAAATAGTGGAATCTTTAAATGACGGGGTGGGAATCTAAATTTTTTTACGGGGGGTTTTCAAATCTCGTCCAAATGACAGGAGGCGAAATGACTATTAATCCAAAAATGAATCATATCATATGAAGAATTTTTTATCCTCTTTTTCCCTTATTCTCTCTATTTCTCTTCTTGTTCTCTATATCTTTTTTTAATTTTTCACTATCTTTAAAAGAAGTAAGATTAAGAGAGATGTAGAAGAAGGAGAGGAATGAAGAGAAAATAAAAAGGTGATGATCCAAATCTCATATGAAGAGAGAGATATAGAGCATGATTTTATATTAAAATTATGGTTCGGAATTGCAAATGCAGTTGAAGTATTGTTGATGTAGTAGTTTTAGCAGCCACATTGAAATGCATTCACATAGTGTTGAATATGACTCATATTATTGAAATAATTATAGATTATTGATTATGATTCATATGACTCATATTGTTGAGAGTATAATTCATATTAATGAGATAATTATAGATAGATAATTGTTTGTCGAAAGAAATTAGGGATATGATTTTAGATAAAGTACAACCTAGTATCATATATATGGTTTGTAGCACTGTAATTAATGTACAATTCACAAGACATAAATAAAAGAAACTATAACTATTCTATAATCGCAAACGTAGATAATTTAGCCAAACTGTGTAAATAAAATTTATATGTATTTCTCTCTACTCTTATATGTATTTACGTTACTGTTTTATCACAGAAAGATTTAAAAGTATACTTGTGATTGCAATAAAAATGTAAAATAGACAAGCTCTCCCACGTTTATTTATTATTTTTATCAAAAAATCAAAATTATAGAATTTTAAATTTTTAAATGTAATAATTTTTTTTTAAGTTTAACTTTCTCTCAACTATTCAAATGCTTCTTAATTAATTAGTATCCACTGCAACGACCGCAATACATTTCACAATAACTGCAATGGCCGCATTACGTCAAATACCGCAATTTAACACTATGATATAGACAATCCATGTGGAATTGGTGCTCCTCCTGTTTTTGTGTGTCGATCCTTATGTCGCATTGTCTTCTTCAATCATACCACCACCATTTTTCTATAGGCCCTTTCCCTAGTGAGGCTATAGAGATACTACTATATCATCAACTTGGTTCTCATGGGTCTTGTATTACTGATCTCTGGTATTAGAAAAAAACAATAAAAACATATCTCAATGTTTTTTCAACCATGTCTAATCATATCCCCTTTAGCTAAGTCTTCTCTAGAACCTACTACTACCTGTTCATCCTTGTGACTTTGCAAAATATCTAAGCAAAGTTGTGTGATTAGTTCATTATTATTATTATTTTCATATATGCCATCAATGCTGGAATTGGACATTAGAAAATAACAAATTGTTCTTAAGGCCAATAATTGATGCATATCTTTTATATTTAAATATGTGAGATATGAAAATTGAATTAATTAAAAAATAAATATGAAAATTGAAAGACAAATCCAAACTAAACGAGTTTGAAAAGACAAGGTGGTGCCAATTGTTTAGCAATATGTAGAGAGTTGTTAGTACCAAAAGAAGTAAATAGTGTGTATATTTGTTGCTCAACAACACATCCATCTGCAACTTAGGGGTCCCCATTGTTTTTTTTTATTTTTATATTTTGCTCAAACAAGGTAGGGTCATCTTCCCTTAACTGACATGTAAGGCAGTACTGGTGTTGTCTTTGTGATTCATAGGTATACAAAACTTTTTTAATTGGACAAATGGGAGAGGTGATGTTTAATTGAGTTGAGAAGAGACATTACCTCTATTTTGGTTTTAAAAAAACCATATGTTAGGTTTGGCTATATAGTATAAAGTGAAATCATTTTATTATTGAAATAAGATTGTCTAAAAATTATAAAATAATGTTTTTTTATGTAAACATCCGGAAGTAATTGTTAGTAAACTTTAGAATTGTGGTTAACAGTGTTCGGTGGATGATTACTAAACTAAAACACTTTATTAAATTTATTAACTATTTATTGAATTATACTAATGAAAAGTTTAAAATGTATTATGTTTCGGAATGACGCAAAGCTCAATTCATGTGAGATAGGGCCACTCAAATCTTGCCTAAAAGATTGGATTAGAAGATAGGTGCATCCTAGAGATATATACAAGATTCTTTGATATTTGTCTTTTGAGGCAGTTGTACATAAAGAAGTTTTTAAGGTCTCAAAATTCTTGAAACTTACTATAAAGTCTAACAATAGTCCATATTCAATACAATCTATTCTAAGACCCTAAACCTAACATTTATAGTATCTTGTTGGTACACTTTCACCATTGGTATCAACACATAACACGCGTCTTTGAAGAGTTCATCATCGTTTAAATCTTCCAAATCCTTCTAGATAATTTGGGCCGAGAAGGTACCTCATGTTAATTTGGGTTGACATGTGAAAATTCATTCTGTTTCACTATGGCTCGAAGCGGTGATCACAATCAAGATATGCAAGTTGAGTTGGAGGATTTTATACTACTTTTTCTTAGCATTTTATTTAATACTTTAATTAAATTTGTGAGAAACACTACATGAATCATAGCAAGTTATAACATGAATCAACTTATTCAATGATAAGTTCAATTTAAATTACATTCTAAATGTATTACTACAAAAAAACATATTACAATTCGAATGTGAAATGTATTTAACATCAGTTATATAAATGAGGTAACGAATGGCGTCATAAAAAGTTATCTATTTATTCTTCGGTATTTTAAAAATTGAGGGATAAAGTCATCTGTATATGAGTTCGAACTTCAACTTCTGTATTTTTATTATTTTCAACTTCTGTATTTTTATTATTTTCAAAACTAACGCATCACACCTCTTGGTTTATCAATAAAACTCAGAGGTAAGATAGATTGTTTTTATCAAAAAAATTCGTTATATTGTTTACATAGAATATTAATAAATTAATTTATTTACAAACTACATTGTTTACCCATAATATTACATTGTTTACACAGAATATTAAAATAAAAATTAATTTTCCCGAAGATCTAATTTAAAATCTTCGAATCATTGAATTTTGGGATAGATCAAATATTTGGTGCAAATATATTTTAAATTGTTTTTACTTGCATTTGTTTCTAATATAAAACAAAAATAAAAGTTAGATAAATAAATGATTTGTTGCTCAAATAAATATTTAAGAACACAAATCTTAAACCCAAATAATTTTCTGCAATTGCAATCCATCATAAATATCTTTTCATGACAAATGCTCTTACAAACCTTAAAATGGTGGATGTAGATAGTTTCAAGCGTTTCATGATGTTTCATTATCTTATTTTTTTATATTCTGAATGTTTTTATAATGAAAATTTTCTATGTTTCACACGGACCATTAATGATAGTTGGTACTCATGAAATGGACGATAAAGATTTATTTAAGGACGGTGATCAATATCCTTGTTGGTGCAAGGTAATGAAAGGGGAGAAGAAGAATGAGCAATGAATGATAACAAAGAGGACTACTATTGTATATCAAATAGAGGCATGAATGAGTTACAATATTGATAGTCTAGGTAGCATATTTATACTAAAATTGAAAAATGCCAAAAGGCCCTATTAAAGAATAAGCATTGAGAATTATAGACATTAACTAAATTATATTTCCAATACCATCCCTTAATTTAGATATTTTATCAGAAGCTAACAACACCAATTTCATCTCTCAAGCAAAGAAATTGATCTGTTTTAACTGCCTTTGTCAGAAGATCTACAAGCTGTTTCTGAGTGCTACAGTGCAGAACTTCTAACATTCCTTTCTGTACTTGACTTCTGAGAAAATGATACTTCGTCTCAATGTGCTTGCTTCTTCCATGTAGCACTGAATTCTTTGCAAGATCAATTGCAGAATTATTATCAATCATCAGCTTCAGAGGTTCCTCAACTTCAACCTTCAGATCATATAGGAGATTCAGAAGCCAAACAATTTGACAAGCAGCTATAGCACATGCGATATACTCAACTTCACATGTTGACAAAGCCACGACAGGCTATTTCTTGGAACTCCAGGAAATAGGACCTCCCAGAAATTTAAACAAGTATTCATAAGTACTTCTCCTGTCTACTCTGTCTCCGCACCATTCAGAATCATAATAACTTACTAATTCTGATTTTGTCTTTCTTTCAGAAGGAAACAACACTCCATATCTCAGGGTTCCCTTGATATATCTCAGAATTCTGACAGCAGCTTGGAAATGAGACCACTTTGGATTACTCATGAATCTGCTAACCAATCCAACTGCATAACAAATGTCAGGTCTAGTATTACATAAATACCTTAGAGAACCAACCAACTGTTTGAAGATTGTAGAATCAACAGAATCACCATCAGAGTCATAATCCAATTTTTGGTTGGTTTCTAATGGTGTCATAGCAAATTTGCAATTCTGCAGCTTAAATATCTTCAGAAGTTCTAGTTCGTACTTTAACTGATGCAGAATGATACCCTTCTTTGAGTACAGAATCTCCATCCCTAGGAAATATGTCATTTTTCCTATATTTGTCATCTCGAACTCATTCATCAGAACTTCTTTGAAATTCTTTATATCTTTTGGGCAGCTACATGTTAGCAAAATGTCATCAACATAGAGACACACCAGAATCATATTGTTATCAGAGT